GAAGCTTTGGGGTTGAAGCTTGATAGGTGAAGCTTTGATGTTAAAGCTTTATAGATGAAGCTTTGGGGTTGAAGCTTTATAGGTGAAGCTTTGGTGTTGAAGGGTTAAAGCTTTATAGGTGAAGCTTTTGGTGTTAAAGCTTTATAGGTGAAGCTTTGGGGTTGAAGCTTTATAGGTGAAGCTTTTGTTGGTACCATAAATTGATTTTGCTTCACACTATCTTGATGAAGATAGTGCGAAGCTTTTGAGATTGATATTTGTCCTCCATTGATGAAGCTTTTGTTGGCACCATAAATTGATTTTGCTTCACACTATCTTGATGAAGATAGTGCGAAGCTTTTGAGATTGATATTTGTCCTCCATTGATGAAGCTTTTGTTGGCACCATAAATTGATTTTGCTTCGCACTATCTTGATGAAGATAGAGATTGATATTTGTCCTCCATTGATGAAGCTTTTGTTGGCACCATAAATTGATTGTGCTTCGCACTATCTTGATGAAGATAGTGCGAAGCTTTTGAGATTGATATTTGTCCTCCATTGATGAAGCTGCTGTGTTCTTGGTCTGAGGGGTTCATGAGGATTTGGTTGTATCCTGAATAAGCGTCCATGAAGCTCAAGAGCTCACACCCTGCTGTAGAGTCTATAAGTCTATCAATGAGAGGAAGGGGGAAACTATCATTCGGGCATCCTTTGTTTAGGTCGGTGTAGTCGACACACATTCTCCACAAGACCTTTTGAAGCAAGAGACTTTCCTTGGTCCGATTTTTCTTAACAAGGACAACATTTGCTACCCATGTTGGGTAATTGACTTCATGGACGAAGCCTATGTCCTTGAGTTTTTCAACTTCTGCTTTCATCGCCTCATATCGTTCAACATCATAAGATCTTCGCTTCTATTTTATTGGTTTGGTCTTGGGATCAATACTCAAGTGGTGACAGATGATATCGGGAGAGATGCCCGGCATATCTTTATATGACCAAGCGAAGACCTCAGCGTTCTCTTGCAAAAAGAAGATCAGCGACAACCGAAGGGGTGGTGACAAAGTGGTGCCAATCTTCACCATGCGATCTGGATGGTCTTTGGAGATAGAGACATTCTCTAACTCTTTAGCGGGTTGTGCTTGCTGGGTGAATGAGTCATCTCGAGGGTCGTCGGGTTGACTGTTGCCATCATGAAGATCCGAGTTGGCTTCATCTGGACTGGTCTTTACTACCTGGTTATGTATAGAGAGGGTATCCTTGGGGACATGCAGGTGTTGTTGCTTAACTGAAGTGTTGTAACATGATCGAACACTAAGTTGATCTCCCCTGATGTATCCATTGCCGAAAGGGGTTGGAAACTTCATCAACAACATATGTGTGGATACCATGGCCTTGAGATCATTGATGTCTGTGCGCCCAAATATGACATTGTATGTCGTCGGGCAATTGACCACTAGGAAGTTAGTGGTAATAGTAGCTGTGTAGGGGCATGTACCAATGGTGAGGGGTACGTGTATACTCCCTAAAGGTTGTACGATATTGCCAGAAAAGCTTATCAGAAGAGAAATCGAGCGATCGAGCAAGTGTTCCGCTACATTAAGTGCCTTGAAAGCTTCAGCAAACATGATATTGACTGAAGCACCTATGTCTATCAGGATTCGTTTCACATCAAAATTTGCTATGTGAGCCTCCACGATCAGCGGGTCGTTGTGAGGGTAGATGATACCTCTCTTTCTTCCTCAGGGGTAGAAAACATATTGGATCCCAGTTAGGCTTTTGATACTTGCCTCCCCTGATGTCTTCCACGTGAAACACTTGATGGCCAGGTCTCAAAGTTCGTTCACTGTTTTTCATGGCCCTATTGGAAGATTCAGACATGGGTGTGCCGCCGCTTATGGAATATATCACATTCACCTGGCGTTGGTTACGGTTATCCCTTGGAGGGTGAAGGAGGAACTGATCAATTTTTCCTTCACGTGCCAAAGCTTCAATATGATCACGGAGGATGATACACTTCTCGCCATCATGGCCATTATACTCGTGGTAGCAACAAAACATGCATGTGTTCTTCGTGGACTTGTAATCTGGCTGTCTTGGCCTTGGCTTTGGTATCAGGTGAGCTATACTGGGGTAGAAGGCCGTGCATGTAGCGTTCAAAGGTGTGTATGTTTCATACCTCGGGGTAGGGCCTGTCTTGACATGTGATTGGCCCACTGCGTTGACTGCCTGGGGACGGGCGTTATTGTGACGATATCCTGAGTTATCGCGATAATGCCCCTGATTCTTTTTATTAAAATGAGATTAGTGAGGATGGAAATCTTTCCTTTTGCCCTGGGATTGATATGTCTGCTGACTTGGCCAAGCATTAAATGAGGCAGAGGGTGTGCTGCTACCGTTTGGAAGGTTGAGGTCTTCTCGTTCGGTTGGATCTGGCCTCCACTCCCTACTTGCTGATAAGGGGTGACTGTAGGGGGTTTCCCTTGATATGTCCTTGCCTCGGCGGAGGCATGGTTGTAAGCTTGTGCCATCACCTCAGAGTAAGTCTTCCAAGTGTTGGCATTGATCATGTACTTGAAGAAACAGTCACGTAAGCCTGCCGTGAAGGCCTTGAGGGCGGTCTTGTCATTTGCCTCAGCGCAGCGAGAATACTCATGGCTGAAGCGGCCAGCAGACTTTCGTAATGAATCGTCCGGCTTCTGGCGAATAATGTACAAGTCATCTACGGAATGCAAGCGATCGGTCTGGAAGATGTGTTGAGAGACAAACAACTTCCTCAACTCTTCAAATGAGTCTACTGTCTCAGGTGGAAGACGTCAATACCAGTTTAAAGCTCCGCCAGAGAGGGTGGAGGGGAAGAGAAGGCACCGTTCTTCGTCGGTGTGTCTCCGGTATACCATGGTGGACTAAAAAAGGTTAAGGTGTTCAATCGGGTCTTCCATTCCAGTATAGAGTTGTAAGTCAAGCTTCTGCTTTGTCTTCGCTTGGAGGGGGGTGTTGAGGATCCTTCTTGTGAGGGGGCCAGACCTGGGTTGGTTCCAGTCAGGTATCTCGGCTTGACGTTCAGCCTTCAACTTGTTTACTTCCTCCAGGAGCTGTAGGACAAAGGGGTCCTGAGTGGAGTCGTGCACCACTGAAGTTTTCTTCCGTAAGTCCCCATCGCCTTTTGGAAGTAAGAAAGTTTGATCAAGATAGCGTGATTTTTCCTTGGACTCGCCACACTGACTCCTAGAGTAAGTATGTCGGAATATTTCCGAGTCCCCTGTACCTTCATGTTCTTCTGGGACCTGTTGCCCATTCCCTAGATTGGCTGCTAGCCTGGGTCGTGGAAGAGGACCGAGTCTTTCAGAAACTCTTGGGTCATTGATCTTCGAGCTTATGTGGATGAGATTCTCTCGACGTTGCTTTAGGAAGTCTCGACAATCGCGATAGACGGCTTTTGATCCTTCCACTCCCTCTGTGAGGAGGTGCTTTCCTCTACTTCTTCTGCTTCGAGTTGAAGCAGCTGGGTTGAGAGAAGTCTCATGTTGATTATCACATTGATGTGTAGCTCGATCCTTATCAGGGATGTCCATGTTGGATATCGGTAACCCTCCGTGTTGGGGGGCATTCAGATGATTGTTGACCTCAACAGGGGCGACGAGCTTGTGTGTTTGAGCATGCCTAGCCTCGTGAAGCATCTCGAAAAGTTATATTGTTCCTGGAGGACCTCATTCTTCATCGTTATCTTGTTGTTCTGAACATCTAGCTCATCGACTTTAGCTTGAAAAGTAACTCTATTTCCTTCCTGCTTTCGTTGCTTCATACTAGGTCCAAGGGGGCTGTCATTCTGTGTGCTATGGCTTCTTTCGCTCCCCATGTCGGAGAGAGATGCTTGGCCAAAAGAAAGTGTACAAGCGGTGGAAACCAGCTTGACAAAGCTGAAGAGAGTGGGAATAAGTGTCGTTCCCACAGACGGCGCCAAATGTTGATGCACAAAATCAGTGAGGACTTTGGTACAACAGAACGTGTCAGGTTTTGTGACCTTCGCTTGGTTGCTTCGGTCACTAGTGAGGATAAGTATGTAAATGAATAGAGACAGATAAGCAAACACAAGATATACGTGGTTCACCCAGATTGGTTACGTCTACAGAGTAGATGAGTTCTCATTAATTGTGAAGGGTTTACACAAATACATAGGTTCAAGCTCTCATTTTGTGAGTTCTAGTGAATAGTTTAGTACAAAATGGTATTAGAGATTATTTGTGGGAGAATGATCCCTATTTATAGAAGAAAGTTTCTAGTTTTGTTCTGACATTGACACGTGTCGTGTTGTGATTGGCTTCTGATGTTGACACGTGTATTGGCTTCTGATGTCGACACGTGTCGCATTGTGATTGGCCTCCTGGTTGAAGGGAAGCTCTTCTGGGTCCTTGACGGTATAACGTTGACCGGTGCTCAGTAGTTTCGGGATTAGTCAAGTATGGTACCAACAAAAGTAACATTGAATAATTAAACAATGAATTACAATTTTTCATTCATAATTTTGTACAAACAAGATTACAAGGTATAAAAACTAAATTTTTCTACGACGAGATTTTATACTCTGAAAACATTTCATGATAGTTTCATTGTCAACGCAAAAAAAAAGAGAAGTCTTTCTCAATTGAACAACTAAGCCATCATTTAACCATTGTTCCTCTATTTTTTTGCAGTGAATATTCATGGCTAAAAAACTACACCCATCAATTAATCAAAATAAAAATAAAAAACTATATTAATTGATAAAGCTACAAACATATAAAAGAACTAACAAACATATCATCAAATAATATTAAAAAATCATAACAAATTAACAAAAACAAAAATCTATTATGGAATTAACATTTTATAGTATTTTGACAAAAAAAAAAACGTTTTATAGTATTAATTTAAACTAAAATATAACACTTAAATTTAGGAATGAAAGGATTACGTGGTGGAGGAGAAAACATATTAGAATTGATAAAGTGGATAATTAAATAGGGAATTATAATTAGATCTGGTAAAGTGGACTGTATAGCAAAGCAACCCACGTGATTTTTTGTTTTTTAATAAAAATGGTGAGGCTAAAAAGCCTCCCACGTGGCTCAGCAAAGTATTTTCCAACCAATAGCAAAAACACACCGTTTTACTAAATGGATAGTTGTCTTCTTCTCCTCCTGGTTTGCAGAAGGCCGTAAAAGAGCAGCCGTCGCCGCTGTTTTCTCCTCCACCATATACCCTTATTTGGGTGGTCCGCGAAGGTCTCACAGCCACTAGTTCGGGCTTCCGGGTGGTCCTAGGACCACCCAGGTCCTTTAATAGATCCGCCCCTGCCACCAGCCACTAGTACCATTATTAATTAGAACTTAGAAGCAACTTGTCCTGCATCTGCATAATATACACAACCGTGATTTGATTCATAAGAAAAAGGAAACTCCATGCTACTTATTCTCTTTTCATATTTTGGTAGATAAAACTCCATGCTACTTATTTTTTTGTTTTAAATTTATTTTGGTGGTTCATAAGAAAATGAAACTCCATGCTACTTACCCTTACAATATTCTTTTCAAATTTGCATCTCACCATTGAATTTTTTTATAAAGAGAGATGATTAATTAAGTGGGATAATGTGGAAAGAAAGTGATGAAAAATATCATGAAGAAGAAAGATGCAATAATAAGATATAAACTTCAATTTGTTATTGATGTTTGGTAAAAGAATTGAAAAGCTTAAATAAATAAAAGAAAAAGCATATTTATGCATGCGTGTGTGCAATACAGGAATAAAGAAACACTGATGGTCTTTTACCTTGGTAGTGACTAATTTTGCACTCACATTCATGTGTGTGCAATGCAGTAAAAGTAAGCATCCGCCTTTTTTCCTTCCTGCTAGAAAAGATGGATAAATATAAATAACCATTAACCATAGTCCAGATAAAAGGGAAGATTTAAAATGCATATATTCAAACTATATAACTTAATTAAGATGAGAGGAGAATTGAAAGCATTGTCAATGAAAATTACAGACCAATCTAACTAAAAGTACAATAACCTTGAGTAACATTAATTAAGATGAGAGGAGAATTGAAAGCATCGACAATGAAAATTACAGAACAATCTAACTAAAAGTACAAGTGTAGTAAAAAAACAACACAATCAAAATCAACGAAGAATGAAACCCAAAAGTACAATCAGGTAAAATAAAACACTGGATAAACCCTGAAAAATCTAAAAACCATTGCAGAGTCAGAGTGATGAGTATTTATGTTCAATAGTAGAAAAGAAATTTCACCACTTGCCTGATTCTGATTACTTGATGAGGTTGCAAAGTGGGGATTTGGACCTTGCTGCTAGATAACAGGCAGGCTGTTCAATGAAAACCCATGAATAAGCTCGTCTGTGTTAACCTTTTCGTCCGCTCCCTGCAATAGGTTTGTATATATTTCAAAATCAAAGCTCAAGATAGAGGGGAAAAGTAGACAAAAAAATGGATTAACAAAAACAATTAATTCCCAATAATATGAAATCAAACGCCAAGAACACAAAAGAGATGGGGTAAAAAAAATAAAAAACTAAATATCCGATAGACTGAGATGAGTCAATTTTTGTGTCATGGAGAAAGATACATCCCAAACGTAACTGCTCATAGCAGTTTCAAAAAATGATGCCATGTTTGTCACATCTCGGCCCGGGGGCCCCACCACATCCTGGGCTGTACTTCGCCGTAACACGAAGTCCGTTTTGGATCCTGACCATGCCCTCACGGTTTTGTTTCTGGGAACTCACATGAGAACTTCTCAATGGATCACCCATCCTGGGAATGCTCTCGTGTGAACTTGCTTAACTTCGAAGTTCCGATGGAACCCGAAGCTAGTGAGATCCCAAAAAGTCTCGTGCTAGGAAGAGATGAGAATATACATATAAGGCTTACATGATCTACTCCCCTGGACGATGTGGGATGTTACAACGTTCATCCTCTCCCCTTGTGAATGGTTTTGCCATTTTATAGTTTGGATTATCTCCTTTTTGATAGGAGCATATTTATGCGACTTAATTAGCTTGTTTCTTGGCATTTATGTTGTTAGTTCGTAGTTATTTTAGTATTTTAAGCTATTTTCGTGCGTTTGTAGGTCCAAAGGGTTAATGTGGCAAAGAAGTGCATTTTGGAGCATTTTTGGGCATGGAATGAATGGTATATGCTTGGAGCAAAAGGAATGGACGAAATTTGAAGTTTGTACATCATCATCTCCCTATAAATAACCATTTTAGCACACTCATTTCACCCAACACATCCATTAACCTACCACTACATCCACTCAATCCACCCACTACACCCATTACATCCACCCACTACACCCATTACATCCACTCATTACCAAACACTCATCCACTACACCCATTAAATCCACTCATTACCAAACATTCACCCACTACACCCATTACATCCACTCATTACCACAACCCACTACACCCATTACATCTACTCATTACCAAACTCATTACCAAACATCCACCCACTATACCCATTACATCCCCACATTACCACAACCCACTACACCCATTACATCCACTAATTACCAAACATCCACTCATTACCACATCATTCACCCACTACAACCATTACATCCACTTATTACAACTTCATACACTCCTCTCCATAACCTTTAAATACATCCACCCTTCACCATAATTTGGGGGCCATCATCCAAAGACACCACATCATCTACACAACTCTCCACCCTTCACCATAACTCACCTATATCCATCCACCACCACAAGAGACCATCCATTCACCACTCACACCTTGGTGCCACATATTTGCAAGGAAGGAGGATTGCTTGGAGTTGTGCTAGTCATTCAATTTGGATTGTGATCAGATCATATTTATATATATTTTTACTTCGAATTCACTCGTCTTTTCTTAGTTAGTTCCTTATATTTTTGAGCTATTTACGTTATTTTTGTGTTTATAGGATTTGTTATGCAAAGAAAATAAAAATAGAACAAGTGAAATTTTATGTAATAAATTCGTCAAAACTGCCTGTGTAGATCAGCTGACTTTGGGAGCAAGTTGCGAACATCTCAGAATGAATTAGAGAATGAGCCTTATATGCTTGGAAAACTACAGATGTCTATTTTCTAGAACACTTCACGGATTGTTAATATTATTTTTCTAGAAGAAGTTATGGGCATTTGAGTAAGGGAAGGTCTAGCTGACGACAACTTGCAGATTGGAATTGAAAAGCAGACAAAGATGACAAAGAAGAGCATAAAGCATAAAATCATGATGAATAATCATGATGAATGATTAAGGCTGCCCTTTGGTTTTGTCTGAAAGGCAACAAATACAGCAAAGCACAGGTTGGCAATAGAAGAAAAGTCAAATAAAGAAATAAATAAAAACAGCAAGTAGAGGAGGGCTCCAGCGAAAAGGGAGGACAGAAGGCAGAGAGATGGATAGATAGAACAGACAGAAAATTTAGTGAGGGAGACGGACGAGGAGCAGAAACGAGAGAAGAATCAGCAAGCTGCCTTGCGCAGCGTGAGCCTCGGAGAGGAGAGATAGGCAGAGAGAGATTGACAGAGGCTGACGGAAGCACGGCAGCAGTAGCACAGAAGCAGAGGCTTCACTCAATCTTTCGGTTAAATCTTTCCAAATTTATATTTTATTTCTGTTTTAATAATGTGTAACTAAATTTATTTTGGCTAGAGGTTAATTCAAAGCCATGAATATAATTGTAATATGAATTGATTACCTTCAGTTGTGATTTCTGAGTTGTGATTTAATTTGCTTAACTGCTTGATTGATAACTTATTTTTGTATGTCGATTAAGAATGCATACTTAATTTACATGCATGAATTTGACGCTAGAATATAAGGGAGTTTCACCTAATCGTTATGAACTTATATTCATAAGTAGTGAAGGTTGCTAGTCACAATCACGTTAAGTAAATTCTTGGCATAAGTTTCATGCAAATCATAGTAACGAGTGCCTCTTCAATGCTTATGTTTTTCATAGAAACTTAATGATTCTTGCTTGTATCTCTATTATGCAATTCATGTAGGGAACTTGTAGGGAATGTTTTGGGTTGTCGTATGCAATCATCCAACCCAATAACTTGTGGAAAACTGAGGGTTAATTAGTGCAATTCACGGTTAATTTTTGGGCGTTGAGATTTACAATTTATTGAAAGAACAACTGAAAAATCAATTTAGGTTGCATATGTGTCATGTGTGGAGAAGAACCCTCTAGCTAGTCCGTCACCTATCCTTTCACCTTAATTTCATGCTTTTGTCAATTCTGTAATTTATTTAAGTTTAATTTACTTCTCGTCAAAACCAAACCCTCCCCATTATTAAATTATATTATTTAGTTAGTTTTCATTGTTGTTAGTCTTTTAATTCAATTTCCGTCAATTTCAGTTCCTAGTGTCTAATTTGATTGTTTTCATTATTTTGAGTCATTCTAAGTGTGTTTCGAGTTATTAGAGCTTTTAGCCTAGTTTTGTGTCCTTGAGTCTTGTTTAATATTTTTAAATTAATTTAGAATAGATTAGCAATCCCTCCTAATCCCCGGCCTAGAACGATACCCTACTTACATCTATACTACAATTGTCAAAAAGAGGGTTAATTTGTGTGTTTTAGTTATTTTACGCATCAAATTTTGGCGCCGTTGCCGGGGATTAGCAACTTTGCTAATCCCTTTATTTTTGTTTTTTTGTTTATGTTTATATTGGTGTTGTGTATTTTACTTTTGATATTTGATTTATTTTTCTTTCTTTGATTTTAGGTACAAATGGAGCAAGACATGGCACTTGCGACCATTCAAGCTCAATTGGCACAGCTCACTGCTCAATTGACTCATAATGCCGAACGGACCACAATGCCAAGTGTCCCTACATTAGATGTGCCCTATGGGCAAGGATATCAAAGTCCTCAATTTTCTGCAAATGAAGATGTTTGGGGATATCAAGGCCATAACCAATCAAGGGGCAACATGTTTTCCAACGCTTGCAATTCAGATTGGAGAGGTAATTCAGATTATATGTGGGATGAACCTCAACAATTTCAACAAGGTGGATATTGGCAGCAAGACGAGTTCTATTCAAGACCTATGCAGCCACCACAGTATCCCCCACAACAATTCCAATCAAATCAAAGTATGCCCGTGAATTATAATGAAATTCTTGAAGGACTAATTTCTTTGACGCAGGGTTCACAAAAAGAAGAACAATTGCCGCCATCGGAAGAGTTCTATCAGTGGCCATATGAACCGTCATAACCACCACAACAATCAGCCCAATTCAATTCAGGTACGTCCTTGAATAATGATACACTTAATAAGTTACTCACCTCTTTGAATCAGGGAGTAGAAAATCAAAACCAGGAGATGCAAGACCGAGTCAAAAGAGTGGACGAATTGGATATGCAAGTTGGGCAGATTGTGGAATTCATGGCACAGATTCGAGATCAAAGTGAACTTTCCAACTCAAACATTGCAAATTCAAAGGCAGAAAGTGAAATCGATGAAGCCATCACTTTGGAAGGTGACATGAAGGATGAAGCTATCCCAGAACCATCCAAACACAGCCCGAACATGGATGAATTGCTGCTGCAAGCAGAAGAGGAGGAGGACGACCTGGGCAGTTTAGAAGAATTCTTGCTGCAAGCTCCTCAAATCCCTATGTCATCTAACTCAGGTGAGGAAGTTCTAAATTCACTTCATTCTAACATTATTCCACCGAATGTCCTTTGTCCTTGCAGGTTTTTGATTCCAAATATCAAAGAGAGTGAAAAAGACATTGTGGAAGCTCTTCCAAAGGTGCAAAGTGATATCCCAATTCTTGGGTGCACCAAAACAAGTTCCCGATGGTATTGAAACGTTCAA